AGGCCCCACGACCGGACCCAAATAAAAAAAAAAAGAACTTTAGGACATTGTTTTCCCATTCTGGAAAAAAGGAGTAAGGAGAGGTATATACAGGACAAAGATAGAAATAGTGACAAACACACACAGACAAGTAGCCACAGATACTTAATGTCCCAAATGCCCCAGATGACCTCCTGAGGAGGTCCAGATAACCTCTCGAAGAAGTCCCAGATGGCCTCTCAAGGAAGCCCCAGGAGGTGCAGGCAACGACTCATCCTGGCTGGAGACTTACACTGCATCCTCACTGAGTCTTCCCAGATGCAGGCTGGCAGGCCTGCCCAGACTCACCCCTGGAGGGTTTCCAAATGACTCCTGTCCACGTTGGTCCTCGGGAAACAGACACTCGAGGGAGGCTCTGGGAACCTCAAGGCTGAGAATCACCTCTCAGCAGCTGTCCCCTGCGGGCCAACGCACTCACCTACGAGGGAGTTTCCCGGGGTCCAAGGCCTGATGCAGTCCAGATGGATTATCTCACTCGGGCCTCCAAATGTTATGACCTGGGAGCGAGACAATCCATGGAGGCACAGTTAAAGATGACAAAAGAATTTTATTTACGCTAGAAAGGGCCTGCAACCACCTTGCCCTGGGCTAGCTACCCAGAACCACCAGCAGGCTAGACCAAGCTCCAAGGACAGCCTCAACCTTTATTCGCAAACCTATTCATCAGTCTGCAAACCTCCTATTAGTCGGTCTGCAAACCTCCAAATCTCCAAAGGGGCAACCTTGATCTTTATTCCTCCCTTCTTCCTTCTGTGCAGGCCTCACCACAGGCCTCTCTGAAGGCCTCTCCGAAGGCTTCTCACCTTCCCGTAGGCCTCTTGCCACTCTCGCTCTTCTTTCTTCACCCGCATCTCTCTTCTGTCCTCTTCTGTCTTCTCCACTACCACCATCCTTCCTACCTATAGGCTATGCCCCTGCCCCCACTCCCATAGCTATTCCTCCTATTGGCCCTGCCTCAAGTCACCCCCTGCCCAACCTCTCCTCCCACTGGCCCTGCCTGACTGTTTCTAGACCAGAGTAGGGAGAGTGACCCAGCCCACAGGGCAATGACATCAGCGCAAGGCCCCCACTGGTTATTACAAAACACACACACACACACACACACACACACACACACACACACACACACACACACAGAGGTTTGACTGTTGGGGAGACATATATTTCCTCCAACCACAAAAAGCACTGGCCATAAAAACAAAACATTAATTGGTCATCAACATTTAAAACTCCAGGTCCTTGAAAGACACCATTAATAAGAAAAACACACTGGACTAGAAGGAAATACTTGTAATACATATGTTTGACCAAAGACTTACTTGTAAATTAGATTAGGAATTCTGAAAACTCGCTTTTGAAAAAATAGGTGAAAGATTTGAAGAAATGCATCACAATGAAAGTTACTTTTTCAACCATCCTTCACAGTCCCAGCCGCCAGGGAACTCAAGTAGGAACTACACCCCAGGTAGGTTAGAATCAAACCCAGTCACACACAAGGTGCAGGGCTTTGAGGATAGGAGCCTGGAGCAGGGAGGGAGGGAGGCAAACTGAAGTTCAGTCATACCAGAGTGTCGCTCAGCAATTCCACTCCCAGCTACTTATCCACAAGAAACAGACCTATCCCCGTAGGAAGGGACCTGCATGTGGTATGCTCAGGGGTGTACAAGTGACAACCCTAAAGGGGGTGGGGGGCTGTCCACACCAAGGGAGAATGACAAGAAAGGATTCAGACCATGAAGTAATGTCCTTACATGGTGAGCTCATGTGGTCTCTGGACCCAACAGTCCCAATCACAGACTCTACGAACGTGGAGACAGAAAGCAGGTTGGTGGCTGCCTGAGACCAAAGTGGGGGCTAGGAGGACCCAGGTATCATTTCCGGGGAAACACCTGCTCCTTGTCTTGAAGTTGCACCAAAGTCATGGACCAGTGCACTTGAACTTAGCATTTACTGTCAATAGACACAAAAAGGAGGAGGAGAGAGCAATGTGGACAGCGTGGCGCTGGAGTGAGACCCATGCACAGTGCCAACTCCTATCCTGCTGACAGCACACACGGCAGCCACCTGAGCAAGCGGAAGGTCCAAGACTCTACCAGGGGTGGCAGAAGTGCCTCTGAGAGATTCAAGTGTGTGTATTTTATTGTAGATGGATCACATCTCAACAAAGCTGGCTTCACTAGAAGAAAACTCAGGGTGTACACAGCTTGGGCAAGCTCCCTTGCCCCCTGGAGGCTGCAGCAGAGTCCTGCCCTGCACCTGCTCAAGTAGAAGCTGAGGTAGGTAGACACCACTGGAGGGATCCCGGGGCTGGCACCTTCTTTGCCCTTGCCCCGATCACAAGGTGCTGGCTCTCTAAAAGGAGGGAACCCCTCACACCAGCAGCCAGCACTACCCCCACCAGTGCTTGGATTTCTTGGGCCTCCTCTACCTAGACCAGACAATGGTACCTGCTGCTCCCTGGGCCCCATGGGGAGGTAGGCTGGGCCCTGATTCTGTGATACTGACCCTGCCCACAAGATAGAGGGGGATTTGCCCAGACATGTCCAGCCCTTCTCCCTTCTCTGAGAACACCAACTGACCACTGTCAGGAGCAGCCTCCCACAGGGCTGGTGTCCACGGGCAGAGGGAGCTGCTGGGTGTAAGAACCACTGAATCATGCTGCCAGGGGTGGAGGGCTGTGAGTGAGACTACCACAAACGGAGTCCTGCTGCTGCAGTGTTCTCTACAGGCCTGGGCCCTCAGCCTGGCCCGCTCACCTGTGAGAGAGGGTGGTGCTGGGGCGGCCAAGTCTGAGTGAGGAAGACCTGGGGTAGGTATCTGTGGGGGCTCCCACCGTGAACACCAGGGGCCGTGGCAGGCAGCGTAGGGAGTGCCATGCCCACATGCTGGGCCCACTCCTGCATGCACTCTGCCAGCACCCAGCCCCATGTCAGTACCACCCCTACTCCCAGGCAGTCCTCACAGCCTCTGCCACCTCTCCTGACCCAGAGAGCAGTGTACAGGGCACAGAGGGCAGAGCCAGGGCCGTGTCTCCCAGGGGGAAGGGACGGGGAGCAAGGGAGCAGCACTTGGCCGTTGTCGGTGACGTGGCTACACGTGGAAGTGTAGCTGCTAACAATCTCAGCAGGACCTTTGCCTCAGACCTCCAGAGAGCAAGGGCTGGCAGCTGCAAGCATCTACCTGCTAGGGCAGAGAGCAGGTGGCAGGGTGTGGGGACATGGACCACGAGCCCCATCGCCCTGCCTAGTCCTGCAAGTGGGCCTGCCTGGCTGTGGTCACAGCACCCCAACATCACTTGTTAACTGCTCAAGGTCCCTCTACGGTCTGTTGCGCCAACCATGTTCAGCTCAGCCCCCATGAATGGGTCTGGAGGACCGGGTGTGCCGGAGGAGCCTGGAGACGGTGTAGACCTCGGGAGCAGACCCTGACGCAGCTGCGTTCCATCCCCACCCACCCCACGGTGGCCACGCTGACGTCCCACACTATACCACCAGGCCAGTGACTGGACTGCTGGGTTTGCCAGTGGACAGGCAGACGCCACCCAGCATGAAGCCTTGAGATCTCAGGCAGCCCAGAAGGAGCCTGGCCCTACACTACATCCTGGGGGTTGGGCAGGGTGAAGGAAAGGAGAAAGAGGCAGGGCACTGCTCTGGCCACAAAGCCAGAGGATCCTGCCTGGGACCCGGAGGTGTGGGATGGCAGAGGCAGAGCAGGGGTGGGGTTCTGACTTGCTGGATATGCTTGACCCTCTGTAAGTGGTCCCTCGGTGGGGGCTGCTCTGTCATTGCTCACACCCGAGGTCACTGGCCTGTCCTCGCTGAAGTGGGAAATAGTGCCAGAGGGGAGCTGATTGAAAAAGCAACTAAGAACACGAGACTGTACCAGCGCAGAGATGGGCACCCTGCCCACCTCCAGGGAATCCAGCAGAGGGCTCTCTGGAAGGGCTTCTAGGAGGAGAAGGAGGGAGGGAGACTGAGGAGACAGAGACAGACCGAGAGGCAGAGAGAGACCTTCCATGAGGCCAGGCCAGCACAAAAGGACCCGGGGCAGCTCTGCACTGGGTGCTGCCCCCCATGGCCTCCTTCCCCTAGCACACCCAGCAACACCACGACATCGCTGCCAACAACCTAGATTCTAACCAAGAAACCACACACCCCCTGCTCTGCCCCACTTATGGGCTTGCTGAAGAGCAAAACCGCAAGAAAACCCAGACAGTCACACAGCGAGCAGACCGGGGCGGCCGTGGTCCCTTTCCAGTGTCTCAGCACCATCAGTATAGCCCCTGAAGGTGGGCAGGGATGGGCAGGACCAGGCAGGGCTCGGGGGGTGCTGTCCGGGCACTGGGGAGCCGGCCCGCGCACCTCCATGGAGGGCTCAGCGCCGCACGGCCACCTTGGCTGTACGGGTCGGCGCCACAGAGCCTCCTCATGGCCACTACCCCACCCCAGCCCTGCGAAAAGCCTGCCCAGGGCAGGAGGGGCTTCAGTGTCCCAGCACCAAGGGGCAGGAGTATTATACAAGCCACCGGACGCCACCCGCCCCCAGAAGACCTGACACTGCCCAACTCCGACCAGGCTGACAGCCCTGGCCAAGGTCATGCTGGAGGGGGGAGGGGCTGTGCAGAGGGTATCCTGGAAGAAGACTGAAGATGAAGGGAAGGAACACCATGCACATAGAAATAGGCTCTTCCGAGACAGGGAACGTGAGGTCCCCAGCAAGGAGTGACCGCTGGTGAGCACTGGTTCACTGAGATCCTCGCTTTCCTCATCTGCCCAGTGCCAGACGGGGCACAGGCTGCAGACCACAGGACTCGTGACCCATCATCTCACACCATGTCAGGTGCAAGCTGGGTGATGGACATCCTGCTCATCATGTCTCCATTCCCACCAACTCCCCCCCGCCAGCCCCGCGGCTGCAGCTGTGCGGTGAGCAGCACGGGGCCAGGCCCTGGCTCTGATTACCTGCATAGCTGCCCGTGGCCTTGATGTACATCTGGCCGTACTGCTCCTCCACCATGGTGTCATAGGCCTCGTCGTCCTCCTCGTCCTCCTCATTGTGATAGGAGGTGGGGCTGTCGGTGGTGGGCAGGCTGCTGGCCCCTGGACTGGTCCGCTCCCCCTGGGGGTAGGGCACCTGCTGGATGCTGGGGACCAGGGTGGCCAGGCTGGGCACCCCGTAATACGAGACTCGGGGCAGCTTGAGAGGGGCTGTGCCGGCTGCCCCTGTGGCCCCCAGAGCCATGGGCACGCCGTCCCGGGGCCCTGTCTCCAGTGGGCGCTTGGGAGCCAGGCCTGGGCCGGTAGCCGGAGGCAGCTCCATGGCTTCATGCTTGACCCGGGTCAGCAGCGGGATGGGCACGGACGGGGATGCGATGTAGGCGGCAGCGGTGGCGGCTGGCTGCGGCTGGGTGCAGGGGCTCTGGGGCTCGGAGCTGGCATCCTCAATCATGGCAGTCTGGGAGTCACAGTGGGGCGAGCTCACCTTGAACATGAGGTCTGTGCCCCGCTCCACAATGTGCTGGATCTGCAGGAAGCCCGCCGTGTACATGACCACGAGCTGCTCGCTGGCTGCCATGGTGAGCTTGCCCGTGTAGCAGAAGGACAGGATCTGCTGGAAGCAGGCCGGCGGCACCGTGCCGGGCAGCTCGAACGCACTCTTGCTGTTGCCGCTGAACAGGTCACGGAAGTAGAGACTGCTGGCGGCCAGGACGGCCCGGTGGGCCTTGAAGGCCTGGCCCTTGACCACAATGGACACATCGCAGTAGAGGCCCAGGAGACGCTGCTCGTTGAGGCAGCCGAGGACTGTGTTCCCGAAGTTGGGGATCTCGATGTGCAGCATCTGAGACATGGCGGGCGGCGTGGCGGGCGGGCCTCAGACTCAGCGGGGGGCGGATCGGGTGGGGCACATCTGTAAGGGGACAGCTCATCAGCCACTGATGGACAAATGCTCCGGCCCAGTGGACAGTCTCCAAGGGCCGTCCCCTCCCCTGCCCTCTGCAAGGAGCAGAGAACATCTTCCTGCCAAGGGTATGTCCAGACCAGGGAGGTCCCAGAATCTGAACCCGGCTGAGGACCAGGGCAGGAGTACCCCCTTGCAGAGCCGGGCTGCTCTGAGACCATCCCCCGCCCCCAGCTGGCATGGCCCAAGCCCCACCCCCCTCAGAAGTCAAGACCGGACCAAGGCAGGAAAAAGGGAAACCGTCCCCTCACATGGATGCCTTCTGGGGGAGGGGCCATCCCAGGGCCAGGAGGTCTCTGGGAAGTGCTCAGTTTCCGGTTGGTTCTCCTGATCTCCTCTGAGCAGCTGTCCCAGCAGTCCCCTGCTCCCCTCCTGCGTTCCCTGCCCAGCCTGGAGCCTCCGGGGCTAGGGGCATGGCTTTCAGGACACCGTACCTCTTCCACTCTTTCCTGCTGGGGAGGGACCGCCCACCATGCAGAGCGACTGGGGTGCTGCCGGCCCCTCTGCCCACCCCCCCCACCCCCCGCAGGGGCAGCCCAGACCCAGGTCTGCGTCCTCAGGGACACTCGGCAGAACAGGAGTTGGAGCTGGAGCCTGGCGCAGCCTGCAGCCCTTCACAGGACGCTCTCCCGCGCCCCCCACTCCCAAACACAGATTAACCCCTGTTGGCAGGATCCCACCCCAGGTAGCTGCAGGGGTTTCAGGAGGCCGGCCGGCGGGTGGGGCGGGCGGCACTGTTTATCTATCAGGTACAGACTCTGCTTGGGGGCAGGGGGGGGGGGGGGCAGAAGGCACTGGCCCAACTCTGCAGGCTGCACAAAGGGCCGCTGTGTCCCGCGGGAGGAAAGTGCAGGCGCGGGCCGCCGCGGAGGAGGGCGGAGCCAGCCCGCAGCGGGAGTTGGGAAGGTGGGCGCAGCGCTGGAGAGGCCTGGCCTGCAGTGCCCCCCGCTGCAGAGAAGTTGCCGGCCTGGCCCGGAGGCGCCAGCCCGCTAGGAAGACCTACCTTCCGCGGCGGTGGCCGGCGGGCCGCCGACACCGCCCGCGCAGCCTGGCAGGGCAGACTCTCCGCACGCCAGCCCGCTGCTCCGGGAATGCAGCAAGGAGCAGGAGCCCCAGGGTGGGAGGGCTGAGGAGCTGGGCGAGGGGGGGGGCCGGGCGCTGGGCTAGGCGGCCGCAGCTCAGCTGCACCCAGGCCGGCGCTCCCGGGCAGCGCACAGCATCTCAATGAAGCGGCCGGATGCAGACAAACATTCAGGCAGCTCTGGGGAATGAATAGCCGCCTTTGATTTGGGAGCTGAAGTAAATGCCAGCTCCCAGCCCCGGCTTTAAAAACAGTGGCGCGTTGGTGCCAGAGGAATGCACGGCTCCGGGTGTTGGTGCAAGACAGACTTTTGATGACTCACTGCAATGCAAACAAAGATGGCAGAAATACTGTACTGTACGCGGAGAAACGCTTCGCGGAGCCACAGCAACTGAGACAGCCTGGAAATTTATAGTGCAGTTTTGCATATGAATTACCCAGTAAACTGCCTGCCTTCCATCCCGCTCAGACCGGTGTCAAAGCATTTAAACTATTCCAAACAGTCTGCCGGGCACAGAGCTGCCGCCAGCCTAACTCTTCCAGGGGACTGGAGGCTGGGCAGGGGGGCCAGGGCGCGGGGCCGGGGGCCGCGGGATGGACAGTGGGCAGCAAAGCGAGGAAGGGAGCAAGCGAGCACAGGTGGAGCACCAAGTGGGCGGAGAGACGAGCGGACAGGAAAGAGCCAGCGAGCTGACCCTCCTCCCTTCCCCATGGGGCCTGGGGCCAGGTTCCCTGCAGGCCGGGGTTCCAGGCCAGCAAGGCCAGTTCCAGAAGTTTCCCCACACCACCCTCACCCTCCCATCTCTGCCAGGCAGCGCCTCTCAACGGACCAACTTCTCAGTAAGGGGGCCCAGCCTCAGGGTTCCAGCGTCTCGCCCTTATAGGGTCTCTCGGGCGTGGGGGAGAGGCAGGGCTGGATCACCTTCAGGCCCCCACCCTCGTGAGCGTGCTGGTTCCCGCTTCCTCCCGGAGGCCCGCCAGGTGGCCCTCAGACACTCAGCAAGGCCCAGTGTGCCCAGGGCCCGAGTGGGGGAGGGGTGGTGCTGTTCAGGGACATGCAGCACAGAGGGAGGGAGGGACCTCAAAGTCCCCTTCACGGATGTGCAGCTCTACACAGGGACACTCCCAAATAGCCACTGGCTTCTTCTGCAAGACGGCCTTAGCCCAGGGTCAGGTGGGCCTCAGCAGGCAGGCCGGGCGCTCTCCTGCCAGGATGTGTGACCTGATCTGGCCAGAGGGAGTAAAAACCAGCCAAAGCACTCTGGCCCCAGGGGCCTGGGTGCGGGGGGACAAGGCTGGCCTGCAGCCAGGCTAGGGGACAGGGTGAGGATCCCACAGCCTGTCCCTCCCGACATGGCAGCCGCAGCCTGCGGGCCACACTGCAGTTCCAGCCTCTCCTCCACGCCCATCACCGCTCCCGAGACAGAACGCAGAGGTGTCTGTAATGCCTGGCTCCAGCCCACGGCATTGATGGGAGGTGTCTGTGACTGGCTGTGAGCTGGTGGGGGGCGGGGGTGGGGGCACAGGTGCCCACGGCAAGGCCCGAGCAGCTCAGCCAGAGAAGGAGCCTTTATTCCCCAGAAGGCGGCAGGGCGGAGTGCGTCCCCTGGGACCCAGGACAAGCCGGTGCCTTTGCCACCTTGTCCTCAGGCCACCTGTGCTGGCACGGCCGGCCCGCAGCGGCCCGAGAGAACAGGACCGGAGCTGGTGTTAGGTTGCTTTCTTAGAAGCCTCGGCTGGGGCGAGAACAAAGCTGAACTTTAGGAGAAAAGAATAAAATAAAGGTTTGGCGTTCGCTCCCAGGGCTGGGAAAGCAGGGCGAGCAGAGGCTGACCTCAGGCTGGGCGGGCTGTGGGCCTCGGTGGGCCGGCGCTGGGACCCAGCGGACGGCCTGGGGGCTGTCTCACCTGCTCAGTGACCTCCACACCCTACTGTGACTCAGTTTCCCCCTTTTTGCTCTCCAAACAAAGCCACCCATTGTTCCCTCCGTGGTTGTGCTTCCTGTATCCCACCCACCTGCTGGTGGGACTGCAAATGGAAGACTTCTTAGCTTGTTTACCCCAGCCATCCGCCCAGCACCTGCACGGCAGGGAGGAAGCTGCCCTCCGGAGGCCCTTAAGAACAGAACAAACCCACCTCACACCTACCGCCACGCCTACCACCAGGGACCATCCCAGGATAAGGAAGGACGGATATGAGAATTTGGGGAGTCTTTGTCAGCAGCCCAGGGGGGCTGGGTCCCATGGCCCCCCCGGGGAGCAGCATTATCTCCAGGTGGTTGGGGGGGGCCTTGTGGAGGGGGATGGGAGGAAATGGGGGGTAGTGCGACAAGCTGGCTTGCATGCAGAGGCAGGGCTCAAGCACAGATGCCCACCAGCCGCATGGCAATCTGGGCACACCTGGTCCCAACACTCTACTTCCACAGGGAGACACAGGTAGCTGCGCTGAGCATATACAGGGTCCTCCCAAGGGCGTCCCTGAGGTGGCCAAAGGAAGAGCCACACAGCCCAGACCTCCAGGGCATCTTGGGTCCAGGGTCGGGAAGAACCTCCCCCCATTGCCAATCCTGAACTCCCCCTGCTCTTGGCACTAAGCAAGGAGGGTGGCATTCAGCATCCGCAGGATTGCTGCTAGCGGCAAGAGAAAGAGAGGAGAGATAAATTAAATTAAGTAAAATTATTTTGCAGGATTTAATTTTACCAATCTAATAAGAGGCTCTGGGCCTTGGTAAACGCACAGCCATCACCACAGCTGCAGAGGAAGGAGGAAGACACCCTGTGGGAGACAGCCCATTCCTGAGGCAGCCCCGCCCAGGGGTAGCCCTGAGCCCGGCTGGCTCACAGAGAACATAGTGGTCTGCAAGGCAGCCTCCCCGCGTGCATGCTCATGAGGTGTGGAGCCCAGGGCATGATGTGCCCCAGGCCGCCAGGCACACACAGGAGTGTAGGGCTCCAGGAGCAGAGCGGAGCGGGGGCTTGCGTGGGCAGGGCAACGGCTTTCAATCATGGCACAGGTCCCGGTCTGCCCCTGCCCCTGCCCCTGCCCCCTTCAACACACTAAGTTTTGTCCCGAGACAGTGGAGCAAGCAGGGCCTACAGGCTAACTCTTCCAAGGTGCAGGCTGCTAGCTGGGAGAGCTCTAGTCCCCAGGGAGCCGGGCGAGGCCTCAGGTTTGGCCCCGAGGTTCGCATTAAACTTTTAAGACACCATCGGGCGCTCTGGGCAGCCCAGGCCTTGCTGCTAATGGGATCACTAGCTAGCCGCCTGCAAGGAGCGGGGCAAACAGATAAAAGCTGCAGGGTGAGGCCCACTGCCAGGGCACCCACTATCTTCTGGGTAGTATGACTGAGGATTCTGAGGTACAGAGGCCCCTCCCTATCCCCCCACCCCCACCGAGGCTAATTTCAGTGCTGGAAGCCACTGGATCAGAACAGGCCCAGGGCCCGTGGTCCCAGGGCTCAGCTGCAGAGGGCAGACCACCTTACCCCCCCCCCAGTGTCAGGTCATGGTGTGAGCCCACCCTGCTAAGCACCCTGAGATCACCCAGAGGAGGAGTGGGAGGAGCTGGACTGCTGGTTTGAGTCCTGGCAAGGGCCTTTCCTTCTAGGGGCCCTGGGCAGCCTCCACCCGCCACAGGCGTGGACATCATCAACCATAAAAGCTGGTTTTAACTGCACTAACAAATGTTTGCCTGGAAGCGCTCTGTCTCTCTCTCTCTTCTTTCTAGGGGAAGGGCAGTGTGCCAGAATCTGCACATTTAAAACTTGCCCATCCATCTAACCCCCTTGCTGGCCTGCATCGGTCCTCAGAGAGAGGGGACAACAGCGGTAGGGAGATGGCATGATGGTGTGGGTCCCCCAACCGCATCC